TATCCCCAGACCATGGAATGCGGCTAATCTTAGGATTTTTTACTTTTGAAATGTAATCATTTTTGTTACTTAGCCTTTTGAATTTTTAGCCTTTTGGCATTTGATGTAAATCGCTGGCATGTAATGAGAAATAGCCCCACTTTTTTATATTATGAGTTTCTGTATAATGACATCATAGGGATATTGGGCCACTGAAGACGCCAGGGGCAAGAAGACCAACTTACACTGAGCCAACTTACACTGAGCCGAACTGACTTTTTCTCGTTGGTGTAGAGACAGACCGTACAAACAGTTGGTATTCTATCAAAATTGTATGAAGGCCGAGCTGATTTTTGCTCGTCTACAATGAAATGTTGGCGCTTGTCCAACTTCCTTAAGGGCCGAGCTGACTTTGCTCGTCCGTGTAAAAAGTTGGCGCTCTGACCAACCTATAAGGGCCAAGCTGATTTTGCTCGCCCAAACGAAATGTTGGCGCTTGTCCAACTTCCTTAAGGGCCGAGCTGACTTTGCTCGCCCATGTAAAAAGTTGGCGCTCTAACTAACCTATAAGGGCTGAGCTGATTTTGCTCGCCCAAACGAAATGTTGGCGCTTTGTCCAACTTCCTTAAGGGCCGAGCCGACTTTGCTTGCCCGTGTAAAAAGTTGGCGTTCTGACCAACTTGTAAGGGCTGAGCTGATTTTGCTCGCCCAAATAAAATGTTGGCACTTTGTCCATTTTCTTTCAGGGCCGAGCTGACTTTGCTTCTCCGTGTAAAAAGTTGGCATTCTAACCAACTTGTAATGGCCGAGCTGATTTTGCTCGCCCAAATGAAACGAGCTGACTTTGCTCACCGCGTGAAATGTTGGCGTTTTGCCAAACTTCCAACTGGCCGAGCTGATTTTGCTCACCCGCAAACTTTGTAGCTGAGCTAAAAGTTGGCGTCGACATTTGAAATCGAAGAAAATTTGCACATTACAGACGAAAAGTAGAATTTTCATTGATAAAGCAAGTTGAGTTACAAAAGTGGGGCTAAGCCCAGTTACATTAAAAAAAAAAAGAGATAGAAGAGATCAATCTAAATCTAGAAGGACATTTTGTTCGGCTAGGCCTACCTCGGCATCTTCTGTCTCGGCATCAGCGACCGCGACAACCTCTTGCTTCGCCTCACGGTCCTCAACCCCTTTAGAAGCTTCGGGGGGATTTGGCTCGGCTGGTTGTACGGTGGTTGCCTCTTCCTCAGCTGCCTTCTTCGCCTATTCAATAAGTCTTTTTTGCACGGCGCTAACGTAGGCCTACATATAGGCCGGGATATAGGCAGTAGGCGGGTTTTAGAACATCTCGGTGTCTTGACCAAGGCTAACTTTTTCCATGGCAGCTTTCCAACTGCACTGGAAAAAGATGTCCTTGGTCGCTTGAACTTGCCGCTCATAAGTCCTTTCACCCTCTGCATACCCGCGGTCTTCAGCATCGCCTATCGCCTTACCCCTCTCGGCTTTGTGGGCATCCTGAAGCTTTCGCAGCTCGACGAGGTAGCGAGCCTTTGTCAGCTGAACGACCCTCTGCTTGTCTTCTTCAGCCCGGGCCAATTTTTGACTTAGTGTATTATGCTCGGCCTCTGTCGCCTTCTGCGTAGCCTTCAGCTTAGTCAACACGGTCGTCTTGGCCTTGTTGTCAGAAATTGCATCCCGCAGACTTTGCCGCACAGCGATCATTCGCTCGTGGGCCAAGTAGTTCTTCTGCGCTGCCTAAAAGCACGTGAAGATTGTCAGAATGGAAAAACCGAGCAAAAACTTGATGAACAAAAGAGACTGTCAACTTACCAGCACTATTGATTTCATCGCCGAGCAGAGCACCTTTAGGTCGGACAGCTCGTCATGCTTCTTCATGTCGGCGGAAAGGAGCAGCCCCTTAGTCATGTTGAAACCAAGAGAGTAGTCCTTGTCCGCGTAAACTGAATCCGTAGTGGAGACAGCCCGGCCTTTGTATGATAACTTGGGCGACCAGACCGGGGGGGCACTCGACTTTTTGGATGGCCCGGTGATCGGTTGCTCAGTCTGGTCTCCCAAGTCGGTGGAAGCGTGCTCGGTTGAATCCTCATCCGCTAGGTGCTGTTCAGCCTTATCCTTTCTCGGCCTCTTCTTCGACCGACCAACAGCTTGTTCGCTGGCCAGAGCCAACACAACATCCTTCCCTTGCGCGCCCGGCGTGGAATAAGTCCCCCCGACTGCCTCCGATGGCTGAGAGTCGCTCGCCTTGCCGGCGATCATCGATTTGATTGCTCGAATCTTGGCCATCTCTTGCTCGGCCGTCAGTGGGACCAGTTTGATCAATAGAAGGTTTGGATCTGGTTCTGGGGAAGGCACATGCAAAAAGTCGGTTACCCTGCTCTTGCATGGTGCTGTGTAGTGGTAGGTCGGTTCGAAGCAGAGCAGTTTTGGTGACTCTCGCTCCTCGGCCAGATGGCGCAACACGACCCTTATAGCTTCCTGGTTAGCACAGGAGTAATCCTCTGCCAAGAGCTTATAATCTGCAAAAAGAAGATAAGTGTTAGATCGGCAAAAGAAGACCAATGCGGAAAGAAAATAACACGGTTCACCGAGCTACTCACCGGCACTCCCAAATTCTTTCCTAATGTACCAGCTCGGTATGGGCGCCTCGGTGTCCTCATAACGACCGGACACCCACAGGAAATCGTCGTCGTTGATTTCTTTGTCCGAATTACCTTCAATGAGCTTTGCTCGGCCTTTCCTGACTTTCAGATTCCAGCAAAGCCCACCTTTATTTTTGCTAAGGGTATATTGGTGAAATATCTCGGCTTAGCTCAGCCACACCGTTTATTATTTTGTATGTATTGTTGGAAACCTGGGTCAGGTAAAGCCTAGTCTGCCTCAAAAACTCGCAGATCAGGGGCTAGATCGGGAAGCGTAGTCCTCCTTCCACTATGGACACGACCATGAAGGAACACTTGTCTAACTCGCCCCATGGGGTGTCTCCTTTCTTGGCGAGCTCCAGATGGACATCGTCTGGAATGTTGTACTCTCTACGGAACTCAGCAAGGGCCCCAGGAGAACTCACCATGAACCGGTACTTCCCCATCTATCTCGGTTTTATTTATTGAGGTGACTTAGGTCGTATCTCGGTGAAATTTTTTTTGTGTTTGCTCGGACTTTGAGCCTCACCGGAAGTAATGCTGAATGGGCCTAGTCGGTCCTAGTTTGTTCTGCATTGTTAAGAAATCAGTCCAAGGGTTAGCGCGACATAAATTACACGGCTTCTATGTGGAGTTCCTAGCTCGGTAAAAGGTTTCTGGGGCGTTTTACTAGCCCGACCCTTATCTCGGCTCGACTATCTAGCCGATTTGGCTTTCCTAGTTCGGTTCTGATTCCCTATGTCCAGCACGGTCACGGCCTCAACGAGAAGCCACAAACTAGTTTTTGCTTGGCTGAAGTTCTATCTATGGATCTAAATTATTATTTTTAGCTCGGTCTTACCCAGATTTCAGGCTGTTCATCCCGAATACGGAGTTAGTGCTTTAAAACTTGGGGAAGCAAGGGGCATAGGAGCCCCATCTGCTTCTCCGATTCCAGTTTTTCCTAGGGTGTACCAATATTGCCCCTAAGAGGGGGCACTGATAGGATTTCAATAGTGCTAGGCAAAAACGTGAAAAACAAGAATGAAGAACACGAAGAACAATGAGAGCAAAACGCAAAGAGGGGCAGGGAAACTTACGGATGATGGATGCATGGGCAAGATCAGCACACCTCGAGCTTGCTTGCTGTTTCTGAAAGATCGAAGGTAGTCGAAAATAGCCTGAGGAATGGCGATGGCGGTTTTGAGAACTAGGGTTTTGGGCTCGAAAACAAAGATGAACAGTGGGGGCACGAATGACCCCTCGTGTGTGTATAAAAAGGGTGGGAAACCCAAACGGCGACAGCCGTTTGAATTTTGCGTGTGAGAGAGACAGTTATGGGGCTGCACGGAGCCAATGGAGCGAAGCCACGTGGCAGCGAAGAGATGGTTCTGTCAGTACGGCTGTACGACTAGTGACAAGACTACTGGTGCAATTCAGAAGACCGACCAAATAGGATAGCTCGGTCATGGTAGTAATCCCAATCACGCTTAGCTCGGATGGGATTAAAGGGCAATTAAGAAGGAGATTTGCGCCGGACAAGTACGACCGAGTTACGGTAACGGGGGTTATAGCGGGTGGCTGAGTCACATCATTTGCTCGGTTGGAGCGGCTCCACGGGCCGTCGCGCCGGGTTGAGCTAGATCAGTTGACCAGAGCATAGGGTCATGCGTGTTCCTGACCGAGCTGTGATTCGGCTAGGCATTCGTGTTCCTGATCGAAACCGCGCCAAGCATAGCCCGGAATGAATTTAGACCGGAGCGAAGGCCGGTGCGCCTCACGGCCAGTCAATCTGGAAGAACCGACTTCTTACAGCTCGGCCGTATTGATCGTAGTTGTGTTTCTTCAAGGGATAGGTCGGTCATGATATTCCGGTTGAGTGTGCCATTTGGACCAATGATATGGTGGAGGGGAAACCCGCTCCAAGCACGCATCAATACCGCTTGGCAATTCTGCATATATTGTTTGGAGGTTTTGGCCTTTACACGCGTATGGTGGTGAGAGGCGAGCACTGCCATCTATCTAGGGAAGGACAGTAGAGGTAGTGCGCGCATAATCTCTGAGGCTGCATAGCCAGCCTAGAAAAAGGAAGGAAGGGGAATGTTGGAGGTATGCCATCTGAACAACTCTCTCTCTTTAAAACAGTATTATTCTTCCTCAAGTGATCTGACTTGATCGTCGGAGGGTCTATCCGGTAACACACCGCCAGGCAACTCACCGTTTCTCTGTTTCCAGGTTAGACATCGTTGTGTGAAGCTTGAGTTCTACGAATACGAAAAGCAAAAGATATTTTACCCTGTACAATTATCAAATCAATTTAATTTTTTAAATAAATGATAAGTACATTTTAAGAAGCGGGTTATAATGAGAAAAATTAAAGCCCGTTTCTAAAATTGGACCCCAATCCGGAAGTTCCAGATTTGAGAATTCAAATTTATGCTTTTCCGCCATTAGAGTAGAGAGAGGTGAGGGGGGAGAGAGAGAGAGAGAGAGAGACATGAACAGTCCACCGCCGTGCCCCAACACGGTGACTGTCCGGCGAAACCCTCCCCGGAAAGCGAGAGCCACCCCATCCACCACCCACATCCCTTTCCCTCTTCGAAATACTCCCTCCTCCTCCTCAATCCCACAAGACATCCCTTCTTTCCCAATTCAAGACATTCTATCTATACACGTCCCTGAAAACCCTAAATCCGATCCACCCATTTCAGAATCACCGTCTACAAACGATCCTCCACTTTCGGAGAATCTGAAAGTTTTCCTGAGAATCCGACCCCTCACTCCTCACCACCAAAACTCGGACAAGTACGCCAAGAATGCTAGCAAGTCAAGGAGTAAAATTGCTTGGCCTCAAAACCCTACTGCGAAGACTAATTCTAGGGCAGGAAAGTCGAAGAAAATGAGTGAGATTTGTATTTCAGTTAACGATTCTCGTTCGGTTACGCTGTGTCCCCCAAAGGCATTGCAAGATGCCAAACGAATCAAGTCTGAAGTCTATCAAGGGTTTTCGCATGTCTTTTCTGCTGATTCCTCTCAGGTTCTTCATCTTTTCCTTTTTTTATTTTTTATTTTTTTATTCTTACTTGTTTGGAATATTGATTCAACAATGGTTACTAATGTTTCTAGGAAATTCTATAATAGACACCTAAAAAATGGTGTATTATATGTTTTAGTTATGACCACTCAATGTTGTGGTGTTGATTATGACTAAAATGACCTTTTTTGGTTGTTTTTTTGGTTATGACAAAGAGGTTTTTGGTTATATCACAAGTGTTGTTTCGTTTTGGTCGATTGTGGTCTCCTTGGTTACGACTGAAAGTGATTTAGTTATTACATAAAGTGGTATTAAACTTGCTTATGATCCACCCATTTTTTTGAGGGTGTGTATTGTAGAATTTCCCATGTTTCTAACGCTTTAGCTTCAAATATTATGTAGGATGAGGTATTTGCAAAAATGGTGAATCCATTGGTTGATGACTTTATCAAGGGTAAGAGTGGAATGTTGGCTGCGTTAGGGCCTAGTGGTTCGGGCAAGACACATACTGTTTTTGGGTCTCCTAGGGAGCCTGGTATGGTGTCTCTTGCTTTGCGTAAGATCTTTTCAAGTACCGAGGGCCGCAAAATTGAGTTATCGAGGTACTTGGTAATTTTGTTTCTGCCCTAAACTCACATAAACCCTTTCAATATATTGAGAAATCTGTGGGAGTTTAATTGGGTTCTAAAGGATTACAAGCATTGCTACTTACTGCAAAATTTTTACTTTCAAATGAGCAGTTGCCTTTGAAAAATCCTTTTTCATGATACCTTATGAACAGGATATTCTACCTATCAATGTTCGAAATATGTTCAGAGGGAGGAAAAGCAGAGAGGATAATTGATTTATCCGAAGATGTTGGTGATTTAAGCATACAGCAATCAACTATCAAACGCCTCCACGAGGTTGCTACCTGTTTTTGTACTATGTTCTAGTTATATATATAATCTTGCTCTAAGAAGCACGGACACGGACATGTGACACGACATGGACACACATACACGTAAATTTTCAAAAAATGCAGGACATGACACATTGGGGACGTGTTCAAAACATATATTTTTATTATATGTATATTTTTAAAGTTTTAATATGTATTTTATGTCAAATATTTAATTTAATCAAATTTATCAATCTTAGGTATGCTATTTTAGTAAAAAAATTAAAATTTTTAATTTTTTTTGACGAAAATAGTACTCAGCGTGTCCCTAACGTGTCCTTAGTGTGTCCCTAGGGTTTTCTCAACGTGTCCCTCGCGTGTTCTCAGCGTGTCCCAACACGTCCGCAGTGTGTCCAAAAGTGTCCCAGTGCGTCCAACTCTTTCCAGCGTGTCTGACATATGTCCGGAGCGTGTCCGGCGCGTGTCCCTGTCTGACACGTGTCAGGCACCTGTACGCGACCTCCGGAGAGATGTCCGTGCTTCATAGATCTTGCTTTTTGTTCTGATTTATATTTGTATGGGATATTAATAACATATTCTGTCATTATCTGGTTTACTTAAACAGGTCAGCATCTCTGATGTTCAACAGGCTGAATCTTTAATTGCTCGTGGAATGTTAAAACGAGCCACAGCTATGACAAATTCAAATAGTCAGTCCAGGTTTGTGGTAGTTAAAATACGGTTTGAGTTTGTAGGATTCATATTCATGTGATGACAATGTGGATGCAATTTTTTCCCACAAGGGCTTAATTTATTGTTTAGAGGGTTTCATGAATGTTAGCTGATGAATGATAAATTATTTTTTCTGTGCCACCAACTACTTTAATGGGTAGAATTATCTTCTATAGCTTCTTAGTTGGCTTGATAAAACAATCTTAGTTATGTCAGATTATTTTGGGCTTTTGTTGCTCAATAATTCATGTTAGTCTAAAAAAAAAAAATTTATTTGTCAATTGGGAAGTTAATCTCAAAATTTGCATATGGCTTTCGATATATTCATTTTATGTGGAGGTAAACTTAGTTTTATGTAATTGGTAGATGCTAACAATAAGTAAATGTCACCTGTTTTTACTTCCTAGGGCTAATCTTCTAGGTGCTTTGTGTTGGGGGCTGGCGGCTGCTCTTTCTGTTATCAATTCCAGGCCCATAATTGTTTGTCAATATCTTTTCCACAATTATATACATAATAAATGGTGGTTGGTGGTGCCATCTTGGGGCAATAGAGGTTGGTGGTTGTGTGAGGTGGAAGTAGGGGTTGTAATGTTCACCATAAAGTAGGTTATGGAAGTTCCTGGGTGGAGTGAGATAGTGGGGGTTGGTGATTTAGTGGAGGGATATTAATAATGGTGTGGTGGTGTCCGGTAGGAGAGGGAAAATAGAAACAGGGGGAAAGGGATAGGAGTGTGCAGTGGGCTAGATATTGGTATGGTGGAGCACTAGATGGATCAGTGTTATTAAAGGTGCGCCTAGTTGTGCGCCTAGGCCCAAGTCCCATCCAGGCCCAAGGTTTGCGCCTTGTAGTGTTCCAGGCCAGGCGACTTCGATAAGGCGCTCCTAGGCCCAAGTCCCGTCCAAGCCCAAGGTTTATGCCTTGTAGTGTTCTAGGCCAGACGACTATGATAAGGCGCTTGATTGGCCCAAGGCTTGCATCTTGAGGGCTTTTTTTTTATTGTTGCTTTAATTGGTTTTGTTTAAAATCTGACCATTAATTTAATATGGTGTAGCTACAAAAGATCCCTACTCTTGTTCCAGATGCCAATACATTGGGCATTCAACCCCAAATCAATGATAGAAGAAAAATTAGTCCTAATTCCTAATCTCCAAAAAACACTAAATGTTAACATTTCATTTTATTTATGTTGAACCTTAAATTATTTGCTTATATTAAATTATATATATATATTTTCGTAAAAAGATGCGCCTCACTTTGGTGAAGTTTGTGCCTCGCCTTGCGCCTTGAGCCTAGGCCCTAGGAAACCTTGGCGCCTTGGTGCGCCTATCGCCTTTAATAACACTGAGATGGATGGTATTTACATTTTAGTCATACCAAGGATGAAGAATGAGGTTCTCCATCCAGTAAGTGAGGTGCTGTGGTACAATATGGTTGGATTATAAAAATATTTCAAATTATATTTAATTTCTATGAGGACAAAGAAGTTATTTTGACATTTCTTTGACTTGATTAGGGTAGAATTGGTATTTTAAGATGTTTGTGTTGATGTTTGATTTTTGCATCGAGTAAATTAATGACCTTTCAATGCAAGGGAGGTCCCTGCATATTGTTAATAGCGTAAGGTAGTGTAGTGAAATTTCAAAAAATCACAAGGAAGGTCCTCGTAATTGTCAAAAACCTTACTGGAGGGCAGTGTAATTTACTCTAAACAAAGATAAAAAATATTGCCCAGAGTATTATTGTTTTTGTTCTTATTTTGCACTAATGGATTTTTTTATTTAAAATATACTTCTAGCCGTTCGCAGTGCATCATCAACATCCGTAGCGCTCCCAACAAGATTAACGAAGAAGTTGATCTTCAATCAGACAGTGTTGTCTTGACTATCGTTGACCTTGCTGGAGCAGAAAGAGAAAAGAGAACAGGGAATCAGGTACTAATCTTTTGTTAATTATTTTAACACAACTACAAGTTGTAATAGACTCTCAAAATGTATTGGATACTTGATATACTTTCTAAATTGGATACTTGAAATTAATTTTCTTTAATTTTTAGTAGTATCGGATACTTTAGGTTACGTATCCTAACTATTATGAAATTAAGATTGTAATAACTCTTGCATAATATTAGAGTGTAATTATTGGGATAGATACAAGAATAATTTTTCAATACTTTGCTTACTTTTTAAGGAAGAAGAAAATAGTGAGATTATAGTAGTATCCTACTTTATGTGAATTTATCAAATTGACGTATCCATAGTGTGTACGTGTGTCCCACATTCATATTGACATAAAGTAAGGATAAATAAAAAATATAATGATATTAAAATCAAATTTCAACAATTAAAGAAGAAAATAAACTTGCATACAATATTTTTGTTTATCGCACAAGTGTGAAAGGGAAAGCACAATGACAGTAGAAATAGTTTATACTTAATTTAAATGACAATACTAAATGGCACAAAAAATGAACCTAGATTCAAGGAGATCGGGTTTTTCTTTAATGGCGTTTGGTGCCATTTAGATAATTTGTTAATATGCACAAATCGTTAGTTCCTTAGTTGGAATTTTTATTTATTAAGTGGATGCAATTGAAATATTAGCATATTTTCTTAACAATGCACTAAATCTATTGGTATTTGAATTATGGATTGGTTCATTTTGACCTGGGCATCATGGCTTCAAAATACAAAAACAACCTCTTTGCATATGGGGGTAAGACTGCTTACCTTTGACTGTTCCTAGACCTTGTAGACTTGTAGTGGAGGGAGTTTTGACGTACTGGGTTGCCTTAATTTCCCTTTTTGGTATAATTTATTAATTTTAAATAAGACCCTTTGAAAATATAGTTACTCAACAATTTATGTTTCGTGTAAAGAACATTGTTTCAAAAGTCTATGGTTGTCACTTGATATCTTTATTTGTTTCTATACATAAGCTAGTATTGAACGTTAACCATTGTCTTGTGCCATTTCATTTGGATGGGTTTACTTTGTTCAATTAAGGCCTTGTTTGTCATAACCTAAAAAAGTCAAAAAGTCACTATCTTATTTAAGTCACATCATCTTATTTAAGTCACATCACCTCTCTATCACATCACTTCAAACTCAACTCATACCCAACTCATATTTCATAAAAAGTCAAAAAGTGCACATATTTAGATCATCCCAAACAACCCCTAAGTTTAAAAGTTGGGTGAATCAAGTTGTTGGACTTTGTGGGAGCCATTGCATTTAGGAATCTCAAGCAAATGAAGCAAACTCTCTATCCTTATCAATTGTTTGGCTTTTTTTCTCTTGATGCTTTCTTTAGTTTTGGCTCGCATTAAAGGATAATTGTTGAAGTTGTTTAAGGACTATATTGTTTGCACGGGGGAGAAATATTAGTTGCGTTCGTACTCCTTGAGTCCAAGCTTGTGTTGCTTCGAACGGCGTCATGCTTCCTAAAATACAATAAAGGTGAGCTACCTGGCAGGTGTTTTGTTAGAAAACCCCTCCGACAGTTAAGTTAGCACTCTTGAGAGAAGGAGAATAGAGGAAGTGAATAGTGCAAGTTTGCTTATCCTTCTCTGAGGGAAGTTGTGCGCCTTATCTAGGTTGCTGCCTTGCTTTCCAAGGTGCGCACACTACTTCCATTGTCCTTTGCTGTACATGTGGATGTACCATGGTTGTTAAAATCGCGATCCGGATCGTAGGATCGTACGATCCTACGATCCTACATTGCCAAAACGATCCAGATCGTTGTAGGATTGATGTTATAACAGGATCGCAAGTAGGATCGTGTAGGATCGCATGGGATCGTGTAGGATCGTATGGGATCGTATAGGATTGTAGGTAGGATCGCAAGTAGGATCGTAGATTTTATAATTTTTCACCTTATTTTTAATATGTATCATTTTAATTTTAATTTTTATCTTTTTTTTTTAATAGAAAGGAGGATCTTACGATCCTCGATCCGATCCTACGATCCGATCCACCAGACCCTCTCACCGATCCTACTTAGGATCCCGATTTTAACAACCTTGGGATCCTCTTCTCTTCTTACACGTGTACTCGTCAATACTGTTAAACAATATTAGCCAAACTGCCAAATGGTATTGATGCGTACTTTGAGCGGTCTCCCTTACTTGCATTGTGGAACATCCAAACTGAGTTACCACTTTTAATCAAATCTCAATTCAACTATCCTCAATTGCACTAACCCGGAATGCTCTTACGCCAGACCAACCTAGGTCGGCTTCACCAGATAGCCTTACAGCTCGGTGGCGCACTTCAGGGTTCACTGTGCTTAGCTCGGTCAGCTCAGCTGTTATCTTTCATGGCTCGGCCAACTCATTTGCTTGTCGTTCTGACGGCTTTCCATGTGTTAGCTTGACCGATACCTCTAGCTTGGTCCTAGCTAGCAGCCTCAATCCTGGCTTAGCTCGATACATTACTGAAGCGCGGGCACAACTCAACACATGGCCCAAACCCACAAGATAGCTCGGTCCAATTCTTTGGCCTACACAATAGTTCGATCATTTGGTCAAGCATGAAGGCTCGTGCTGGATTTTAGTCGGCCCATTGTTTGACACAAATTCCCCTCTCATTGTTGTTTTATCAATTGATTTGCAATTACATGTCAAATACTAAATATTAATTCCTATACAAAGTACTTGCCAAAAATATTCTTAAAAGGTTTGGAGTTGAGCCTATATCCTTTGGGAAATTTTATTTACACACTACCTAAGAAGCATGGACATGGATGTGGGCACGAACACAGACATGGATATGGGCAAGGACACGGCAATTTAAAAAAAAAATAGGGATAAGGACACGGACACGGACACAGTGGGGACACGACAATAAAATATGTTTTAATATATTTTTATTTGATATTTAAATTAATATTACATCCACAAACAATCAATATTAATAAAAATTAACTCTAATTCTATATTTTCTTTTATTTTATTTTTTTAAAAAAATAAATAAATTAACACTTACCGTTTATATCTTTTTTTATGGATGATCTATTAAGTATTTAAATCTAAGAAAATAATAATAAACATTCAACATTCATCAAAAGCGCTAAAAAAAATAGGAGAAAAAACAAGTTGGCATGTCTCTAATGTGTCCCCAAAGTATTCTTGGTGTGTCTCCTGAAAATAAACTAATTAAATAAGGGGACGCGACATGTAGCGTGTTCCATACGTGTCCCCAAAGTGGCTGCGTGTCCCTAAAGTGTTCGTGTGTCCGACACGGATATAACACTTGTTTTAAAGTGTTGGTGCTTCATACCACACTACCATTCCTCTCAATACAAACGATTACTTAGTTTTTCTTAATTACCATTGTGCCCTTGAAGGAAATTATCTTTTTGGACAAAACCCTAAAATCCAATCTCTCAATACTCAACCATTACTCACCACCATCAACACCAACCATTGCCACTACTATCACCGCCTGTGAACCACTTCCCTCTGCCACCTCTTGCCTAGTCTTGTTGCCTGCTGCCACCCTATTTCCTAGCCCCATTGTTTCTCTACTTCCACTGCTGGCTACCCACCATAATAGCAACTCCCAACCCCGGCAACCACCACAATCACAAATTCCAACACCGGCGACCCACCACCCTGTGACCACCACTATCACAACTCTACCTTCGGCAATCCACCACCCCCATGATGCCCATTAGCTTCCCATCTCAGAGAGAGAGAGAGAGAGAGAGAGAGAGAGAGAGAGAGGTATGGGAGCAATGTCTGGAGGGGGGGCGATGGGGTTGGAGAGAGGGTGGTGGAGGGGTTGGGGATCAGCAGTTGATGGTGGTGGTTAGGTTTAGAGATTGAAGAAGGTGGGCATTTTGGTATTATTAAAAAATTAATGGTGTGGATTGAGAAAAAATCCAAAAAAAATCAAAGTGTGTGGTGTGAACTAAGTGGTGTGTACGTAGAAGATTTGTGTTATGCAAATAGAAGCTCTCATATCTTTTATAGGTTTTAAAATTCAATATTGGCATATAATCAAAAAGAAAATTGAGATACAAAAGACTATTTTATTTTTTATTTTTTTAAAAGAAGAAACTATTCCCGTGTTCCAGCTGGTTGTTCCTTTGCCTAAGGTGGTGTTTGTTTGTGTAGCAATTTACTGATGTCTTGTTGTCTATGGGCTTTCAATACTTGGTAAAGGATTTTGTCCTCTTGATATGTGTAGTGAAGGTTATGCACTTCTTGCTATATGTTTGCTATTTCTATTTTTTAAGGGGGATGCCCTTCTTGTCTGTGCTATTTGGCTTTTATTTTGGAGTCAATGGCTTTTTTTTTTTTCTCACTTTTGTGTTCATTCTTTTTCTAAGCTTACTTTTCCTAGAAAGAGAAAAGAAAAATAGAATGAAAAAGAAAGTGCGTATTTCAAAATGTTTCTTATATGTATGTATTTTTTCCTCTTTTTGTGCTTCCTTTGGAAATGTATGTTGAGTATGCCTTCTTCATTTTATTGCATTAGGTAACACATTGGAGGACTAGATCATGTAACAAGGGGAAGTTCATGCATTTTACCAATGTAGGGTCTCTTTCTGATGGGACTCAAAAGCCACAAGATATATGTTGAATGGGTTTTACATATGGTTATGATTTTGGTGTAATTTTGGTCACCCATGAATTGAAAATGTAATGGAAACTCAAGGATCCAGATATGTGTTCAGTCCATGTGGCGTTTTGGAAGCACTTGGTTTGCCTACCATCATTACTCAAGTGCTAGAATAAGATTTCAAACATTTTCTTTTCTCATATTTCATTGTATTTATATTTCAATTTGTGTTTTTGCTCTTAATGATTTATTCTTAGACCTTTTTCTCCGACCATTTTGGTTGAGGTTGTAACTAGTCACTTCTGTATTGAACCTTAGTTTTTATGTTGATTTATTTATTAGGTTTGCTCAAAGGCTTTTTTAGATTTATTCTCATTTGTGCCTGTAGAATACTTTTTATGTCATATATGTTAATCATGTACTTGCTGGCTTACAGGGGGCTAGATTGCTTGAGAGTAATTTTATCAACAACACATCAATGGTTTTTGGTCTGTGCTTGAGAGTATGTAACCTAAACTTGTTTTTTATGACATGAACTGATTTCTGATGTCTTAGTGCTGTAATGTGCCACATTTGTATTCTTGTTTGTGTTTTTGCTATAATTTAGATTCTTCCTTTATTTTCAGTCATTGTTGGAGCATCAGAAGAATCCCAAGAAGCCATTGCAAAAGCACTTCCAAAGCTCTTTGGTGATGCATTTTCATTTTTTCAGTTGTTACTAGTTCATTATATGGTTTCTTTAATTTTCTCCTCTCAAATGTGTGATACCCATTAATTCTTTCTTAGCCTCTAGTTAATGCTACAAATGGCTTTCAGATGATTTTTGCTCTTTAAAGAATATATTTTAAGTATACATGCAAGACAGAATTTGATTTTGGTGTTAATTTGTAAACAGTTAACTCGGTATTTACGAGATTACTTGGAAGGCAAAAAGCGAATGGCTTTGGTATGCTGTTTATGTTACACCATTAGTTTGTAACGTATCTTACATTACACTTTGGGAACACTAATTTTCAGAGGATAATTTGTGGTTTACTTCAATTTTTTTTACTTTTATAATGTTATGAGCTGGTCATATTGATTGGTTAGTATATTTGCAGATTTTAACTGTGAAATCGGGAGAGGAAGACTATCTTGATTCATCCTTTCTACTAAGACAGGCTTCACCTTATATGCAAATCAAGTAAAACTTTTCTTGACTGCCAAACATCCTTCTACTTATAATAAGCTTTACATCTAATTGGCATCATTACTCATATGTGTAGGTTTAATAATGTCGAACAACCGTTGAATTCGCTTTGTACTAAGAGGCATTTTCAGACTTTGCCTAGAACAGAACAACTCAAGAGAATGAAGCTTACTTGCCTTGAAGCATGTTCGGTATTCAATCTGCCCTTCTGAATGTAAATCTTTTACATATTCATTTTATTGGATAAGTGTGTAATTCGGCTTTAGCTGGAATAGGTCGGTAGATTTCTTTGAAGGGTGCCCTCTGGTCATTTTTGGGAGGTCTTGTAACTCTGCAACTAACAATTCCCTGGATATGTTTTATGCCCACAATTATATTGTTATGAAATTGGAAGATCATGAAAATTCATGTCATTGTGATGACTAGACTTCTCCTTGCTTACTAGGGCATGCAACATTCTTTTGATACACGAGTCGCTGCATATTTTAGACTTAGTAGGAAGTTAATACACAGAATATAACCTGTTTGTGGTTTCATAGTTGGTGCCAAGGCCTGACTTTGGCACCGGATGTTAAGCCAGCTCATTTTTTGAATGAGTTATAGTCTTAAGTGATATTTTTTTTTTTTTTTTTTGCCTTTTTGCAATTTGGTCCAAGAAGCATCTAAAAATATAAGGTGTCGCTTGACAATGTTGACATTTTACCTTTTCTGTTTACAGAAAATATTGAACAAGTTCATGTTTATTTTTGGTAAAAATGTAAACAAAAACATATTTGGTACAACTTGTGTTTTAAAAACAATAGAAAGGGGTGGCCGAAAATGGTTGGGTTGGAGAAGGTGGCCGGAGGTGGTTGCTAGTTGGTGGTGGAAGGGAACCGATATATCACGTTTTTAGACAGTCTGACCTTGAATGGGTGATTCAGATTGTGATCTATTGGAGGTGGTGACCGGAGGTTGTTGCTGGCTGCTGGAAGTGGTTGGCAGTGGCCAGAGGTGATTGTTTGCTGTGGGAAGTGGTGGCTGGTTGCAGGAGGTGATGGCCGAAGGTGGTTTTTGGCAACCAACCAGCTGCTGCAGGTGGTTGTTGAAGGTGGTTTCTGACAAGAGGTGGTGGCCGTCGATGGCTGCTGGTCTTAATAAGCGGTGGGTGGTTGTCAGAGGGATGGGAGAATGAGGAAGGAATGAAACTTTTTTTTTTTTTTTTCCCTAAACAAGTGAAACCAACTTTTTTGTTGTTTCAAAACTTTAGGAAGTGTTTGGAAGAGTTTTGGAAATATGATTTGAGAATAGAGTTGTATTTTGAGTTTGTGTGTTTTGGAATTATGATTTGAGTGTAGAAAATTTGTTCGGTTATGTATTTGAAAAGAGCTTTGAATTGAGTGGGGAATTTTTGATGTGATATATGATATTTGATACAAAAACTTACAAGTCAACCAAACCTACGACTTAAGAATCTATTAAAAGATCATAAAAAATTTTAAATTTTTTTGAAAATATTGTTTTATTAAAAATATAAAAAAAAACAAGTGCCAATTGCCCAAAAAAAAAAAAAAAAAAAAAAAAAAAAAAAAAAAAAAAAACTTGCCCTGTTCCGGTTGACCGGCCGGATGACTGGTAAAGCCAAATTTCAAAAAAAAAAAATCCCGCCTGACACTGAATTTTCTATAGAGTTTTTTTTTTTTTTTTTGTTGTGGAAATATAATTTGAAAGATGTATGCAAACATGGCATTGAAATGTAGGGGTGGAATTATAGTTTGATAATCTATCCACACACAGCCTTACTAACTTTTGTAAACTATTTATAAGTTTTTGAAAACGAAAATAGATACCAAATGGATTTTTGTTTATAGTTTTCAATTTTTCTTTTTCTTTTTTTTTGTTGTTGTAAATATAAATAGAAAATTGTAAACATAAACGTTACCAAACAAACCTTAAAAAAAGGACCAAATTTGAAAAAGGTCAACTAAAGACAAACAAATCGAGTTTGTCTTTAGCGGACCTTTTCAGATTTGATCCATTTATTTATTATTTTTTACTTTTTTTTAATAGGGACTTCTAGACTAGAAGCATCTAAAATGTAAAAATATATTAGCTTGGCAGTCGGTACCAAAGAAGGGTGGGATGGTCCATGTTGAAGATAATGCTAGTTGAAGGGAGACTGTAACTAACATGGGCTGAGACAATGAGGAAAAGACATTGTGGTTCAATTGAAATTATGATAATAGACCAGGCGGAATGGCCAGACAGGAGTCATCTTGCTCACCCCAAATAATTCGGACAAAAAGTTGTTCATAAATTTGATGCCTTGAATTGAAATTACACGAAAGAAACAATGCACCTTATGTGAACTAGGGGTGTGTGTGTGTGATAGCTAATATTACTTTACCATGATTCTTTTACTTGTGCATTTTAAAATTTAATGGTACGCTGAGCTTTTTATTTTTCTTTATGGCATCTTGTTTCTAATTGATGACTATTAGGTTATGCTGGACTTTTCCATTCTGTTCCCTTGTGGCATTGTGCATGTGGGGTTAATATGTCATTAATTTTCCTGACAATGGATTACACCTTGTATTGGTAACTACATGATTTTTTATGTACATGCTTTATCATTCATGTTAATTTTAGGCTTTTATTTCAGACCACTGGGGGGAAGGGTACTGGAGAAGAATGTGAAGTTGATAAAGAAGGTTGTTCGAATTGCGCCTATAATTCAGCTTACACCACTTTGTTATTTTTTACTCTTTGATTTCTATCAAGAACGTGGGATATATTTTTGCTTCTTTTGAAACAGAAACCCTTCCACAAGAGGTCAAGGAGGTTAAACCTCAGATATGTTCAGATCATCTGGCAACAACTATTAATTGGGAAGTAAATGACGGTACATCCCTTGAGGAAGGGTCCACTGAATTGGCAAAAGAAAGAACAAACAAGATTATGCAAAATTTTGCTAAAGCTTTATGGAATGTCTTGAAGCAATATAAGGGGAAACTTGAGGTAATAATTGGTGTGCATATATTGTGTGCGTATGATGGTTTAACATGGTTATGGATGCAATGTTTCAGTACTAAAGAAATCTGAGAAATCAAATTGACAATTTTGCTTGTGAACAGGTAGCTGAAAATCAAATTCAGAGTCTCAGAGAAAACCTTGCCAATGAAAAGGCAAGGCGTTCTGAGCTTGAAACTGAATTGAAGAATTTAAAGTCTTCCCTTTTATGTCAGAAAGAAGTTTCTTTGATTAAAGAGGATGAATCCGATGGCAATAGATCTGCAGACCAGGAAGCATGTCAGCCTAATAATGTTGATGAGGTATTCAAATAGCAATTTCCCCAACCACAGAATCCCAATCTTGTTTCATAATGCATAAATTCCTCTTGCTATCCTTCTTGTTACAGTTCTCACTCTAGAGTATTGCTAATCATACTCTTACAGTTATGCTTTGTGAATTAAATTATATTACAGACTTTAATTCATGCTCAATCAACTGTGTGTGAGGGCTCCCTAGAAAAACTTTGATTTCATTCTGGGAATATCCAACTTATCCTGCTAGTTCATATCCTAGCCACTATTTTTATCTTCAGTCCTTCCAGTCTTATTAAGAATCTCCTACTAGAATGTGGTGAATAGTTTGACATACATTGTTGGGTCCATTTTCTCAATAGCTAGCTTTTAGGGTTGAGTTTTTCTACTTAAGACTGTGTAACATGGTATTAGAGCCGGAGTACCATGGATGGGTAGGGTGTATGTCCCTGGCATGTATGCCACAGGTAGGGGTGTACAAAAAACCCGAATCACCCTACGAAACCGACCAATCCGAACTGAAAAATCAATTCACGGACGGTTTCATAGTGAGAAACGGTTGGCTGCGGGTGATTTTAATAAAAAATTTCAACTTTTCAGACGGGACGGTTCAGTATATATTGAAATTGATAAAATCGACCGGACCGATTTTTATTGCGCATTGATATTATTGGCTGTCCATATTCCCATTATCTCTAAGCAATTATAACCTGACAGTGGACAATGACTTTTTAGCATTTGATTTTGATATATATCCTGACAATGAGTTGTCTCCCTCTCTCTCCTTGTGTATCTTCTGTTCTTGTACCTCTTCAATTTTTCTCTCTTTCCCACGCATGCACCTCTCTCTCTTCTCCCAAAATAAAATTAATTATTCATATCTCTTTAATTCTTTTACTCTCTCTTCTATCTCCTCCCAAAAAAAAATTGATTATTCTGATTTTCAAAACCCATCATTGATTCTTACTCCGTTATGTCTCTTCAAGTCTCTCTCTCTCTCTCTCTATCCTAGCCGTACCCTTATCCTATTTTTTTAGGTTTTGTCGTATCGCCGTATCCGTATCGTGTCGTATCCGTATCTCATATCCGTATCTATGCTTCCTAGTCTCCCTCTCTCTCTCTCTCTCCCCAAAAAAAAATCCTGCATCTAATTTTGATTATTTCGATTTCCAGAAGTCATCCATAACTCGAAGGTAAAGGGACAAATCCTAAATTGTGTTATTCCTGGTAAAAGTTGATATTGAACAGCAACCAATCGAAAATTGCCCAACAAAATGGTTGAACAATTTAATGATTCTTGGTGAGTCTTCCTATTTCATTACCTTTGTTGTTCTATGATTTCTTCCTCCCTCAAGAAACATTGCTTGAAACCTGTTTGGTTTTTCAACGACTCGTCAACTCAACCGAGACCGACCGCAAAACCGAATCTCTCTCACGGTCGATTTCAAACACTGCATCGGTTGAAAGTGGTTGATTACTTCATCAACCTGCCATGGTCGAGGCTTTTGTCGATTTGACCAAAAAACTGACCCGACCCGACCCGACCCGTGAACATCCCTAGCCGCAGGTGCTGCTGAGTTAGCATGTTGGGTGTGAAAGAGGGTGTGAAGCGAAGTCCCACATCACCTGAGTACTAAAGTAATATGAAATATATAAGTGTGAGGTCACCCTCACCTCAATAGCTAGCTTTTGGGGTTGAATTCTACCCAAGACTATTTAACATGGTATCAAAGCACAGGTTGAGAGAGGTCTTGGGTTTGGTCCCCATTTGGTTTCTTCTTCTTTGTGTAGTTGTTTGCTTCTCTTCCTATTTTGGTTCTCTGGTTGTTTCTCCACGTGCAAGATGGGGTTGCAAGTGAGAGAGGATGTTGAATAGCTTGATATACATTGTTGGGTTCATTTCTTAACAGCTTTAGCTTTTAGGAAAATAATATGCTCCGTTATTTCTTTCCTAGCTCTGATACAAAATTTCAAATAAGATTAATCTGTCATGCCTGTCTTAAAAATACACATAGCACTAAACCATGTGCATTAAAGACATTGTATGACTTTTCCCTCATCCTATGCATCAAAGCAACTGTGGTGTTATTAAAACTGATTGATCTCTCTTTCTATCAACTATTGACTCTTTAATTCCATAACTAAATATAGAGAAAGGCTTAATATTACTAGTGTTATGTGCTTGAAACTGAATTGAAGGATTTAAACTCTTGCTTTATATGTCAGAAAGACGATTCTTTGATTAAAGAGGATGAATCTTGTGCCAAAAGATCTGCAGAGCGGGAAGGATGTCAGGCTAATAATGTCGATGAGGTATGCAATTGGCAATTTTCCCCATCCATTGAGTCCTAATATTGTTTCACAATGTATAAATTCTTGCTACGCTTCTTGTTGCAATTCTCACTCGAGTATTGTTTGTCATACTCATATAGTTATGCTTTGTGAATTAAATTATATTGTGGGCTTTTCTTTCATGCTCAATCAACTGTGTGTGAGGGCTCCCTAAAAAGACTTTGGATGTGTTTGGTTTGTGTTTTGAGATAAATTTTCAAAAAAAATTTTGGGAAGTGTTTAGAAATTTTTTTGGTTTGTTTGCTTGTATATTTTGAAAATAGTTTTGGAGTTTGGGATAATTTGATATTTTGTTGTAGTTGAGTAGATATGTGTGAGAGAGAAAGTGATTGAGAATGTGAGAGGAGAGAGAAAAAGTGATTGATTGATGTATAATACAAAGAGAAGTAATTTTGAAATTTTTTTGAGAAAATTTGTAACTAAACATGTTTTTGGAAATTTTCTTCCTAAAACATGTTTCAAAACACAAACCAAACACACCCTTTGATTTCATTCTGGAAATATCCAACTTATCCTGCTGGTTCATATTCTAGTCATTTTTTTTTCTTCCTTCCAAACTCTCCTGTTTTCTTTCAGTCCTTCCAGTTTTATTAAGGAAGAATCTCCTCCTAGTATGCTCAGTCATTTCTTTCCTAGCTCTGACACAAAATTTCAAATGACACTGATCCTTCATGCCTGAAAATATGCATAGCACTAGACCCTGTTTTATATCTGAAAGCATTTACTTGAGTTCATGATTAGGGCAATTATTCCAACTTGTTTCTTTCTCAGGGTTTTCAATTTCAATTATGTGTAATCATCTTATCTTTTGGGTAGTCCGTGAATAGTACCATTCTTTTTTAAGTTTAGAATATGTTCAGTTAAATGCAGTAGTTTCTTCATTAAACCTGGATGAATCAGAGCACAATGCCAGTGAACAAAGATCCGATAACTCTGATACCAATGTAAGGCAGATAACCGTTTTCTTGTGTTTGTTTTGGAATACTTGCCACTAATATATTGTGTAATTATTCCGCCAGGTGAATAATTTTGGTGTGGTCATTGCTTCATCCCTTGCCGTTGAAACCTTTGAAGAGCAGAGCTGTCAGGTACTTTTTAGGAGACATGAGCTCAGGACATGGGAATGATATTATAGATATTATCTGTAGGTTTCTTTGTTTATTTTTGGGATTTGTAAACCAGCTCACTAATTGGAATATCCATGCTGCAGTGCACTGATCAGGAATGTGAAGGCTTTCCTGGTAGTATTGACAGTGGTGAAGATTCGAAGGACTTAAAAGATACGGGAATAGACAATGTTCAATTCAATGGCAATGCATCAGGTTTGATCAAGAAGTGATACTGAACAGTTTTTAATATATTTTGATTGGTGGAAGCCAGCCAATTTTCAGTAATTGGAAACAGTAATATATGTGGAACAGCAACTGGTGTGAGGGTATGAGTCCCGTAGTGGAGATGTATGCAGTATGACACTAATAATCAGCCTTCATGTGGAGATGCCCACATAGTTTTGGGATACAAAAACGTGAATCACTCCGTTGTCTCATACCCAAATGCCATATGCAAAATCAACCTAGATGTGTTTCTTTTAATCTGACTAGACGTCATTGTGCGAGTTGATGTCAAAATTATTTTGAATATTACCTTCTGCAGTGTGAAAACATAAGAATATATATCTGATCTTTAAGCATCACTAAATATTATGATTTTTTTATTGGAGGCCTTCTTTAGTGCTGTCTTCATGGTTTTTAAGTTTCTCAATTGGGACATTTGTTTCTGTGTTATGCTGCATTATCAACATTACAGTCTAATTATCTGTTAATTACAGATTCAGGATCCTCCGAGTCTGTGGTGAGCTCTCCTAAGTCGCTTGTCGTAATTACGAACGATAGTTGTTCCTCAGTGGAGGGGTACCAATCACATAATGACGAGTACAAGGTTAAATTTCATTTTACATTTAGAATTATGATGATTCTCTTAATTACTGTTTTCTAGCTTCTGTTTGTTTAACTTTTTAAATTATGCTATAGTTTGTCTACCTTATGTTCGTAAAACTTTTAAGTTTTATTAAACTTCTATTTGTAAAACATCCATGCAGAATACATGACCTAGAAGGTTGGGTTGGTTTGATGTTTTTACCATGTAAAAGCCATGGTTTTGCTTTTGCGCTATCTGTATGTGCATTAAAAGACATCATATGAATTTTCCTCCATCCTATGCATGTCAACTGTGGGGTAATTAAAAGATGATCTTGATCTCTCTATCAACTATTGACTCTTTCATTCCACAACTCGGTATAGAGAAAGACTTAATTTTGTGGCACCAACAATCATTTGACAAAGAGTGTGACTTGTTAATCTTTCTAAACAACACGTGTCTGTGAATGGACATATCATGGGCCTGCTGGGAATAATGACGAGTCAAATAAATAGACCGTGGACAGGTTGCGAAATTGTTTTCAAATCATGAAATGTTTTGTTAAAATAGTGAGTCATGAATCGCATTGAATTTTAAATCGTAAGATTTACTTTATCGATATAACTATTAATATACAACAATGTCATTTCATGCATTATGTAGCAAGACCAAATTTGAATTGTAGTGAATTGAAATTGAACCGCATGATTCATTCAATTTCTGTTTCAACAATGCAATTGGAATCATTTTGGTTGAAAACTCTTATCGAATCCTGAATCAAGCAATCCTAACAATCATGGTTGGGGATGTGAGAGTTGGAGTGGTCTTGGATAGAGAGAAAGAGAGTGGTTGTAGAGAGCCTCTGAATCATGCATATCTTCTTGTGTGGTGGAGGCCTCATTTTATGCGACGGTCAGGCCATGGGCACTAGCCGCTAGCTCACCCTTGCACTGTGTCCCATGCCCAGTGTAACTGGACAAGCGGCTCAGCTTCATATCAAAGAGCTGTGGTGAGTTGGTATGAGAAATCTTATGGAGCATCACATATCTTGATCAAAATATAATTGTGTGCAGATCTTTCTCTCTAAAACCTGTCAAGGTGCAAGTCCTGTCAAGGGAGAAGGCAGCGAAGAACCTTGGCAAATTCTCAATTCTGTACTCTAAGCCACAGGTTCTCTGTTGATCTCAAGCAGATGTCAAGGTGTTTGGAACTAGGCCCAACAATGCATATCAAGCTATCTAACATACACTTTTTGACATTTTTTGTGAATCTTTGTAACCAAGTTTATTGCATTCTTGCATAGATACTGATGGCTTCTCATTTACATTGGCAAATATAAATAGGCCAAGTTGATTATATGAATTTTCCATTTGAAACATTCGTTTATTGACTGGAGAAGGTTGTATGTATAACACAAAATAGATGGAAATCTTTGGTTTCTGTGGTTGAATATTATTCTTCTATTTCTTACATCATGCCCAATTTGTTAATTTTTTAGTTTTTAAATGTTGGTGCAAGATTTAACTATTTTGCTTTGTCGTCTTATATAGAAAAGACTGGATCAGGCAACAATGCCAGAGGAAGATGTAGAATTAGCCCCAAGATGTGATGTCACTAGTGCTCCAAAAAGTGAGCCAAAGCTTAATTCTTGCTGCAAACCTTTGAATGCAGAGAAACCCAAAAGGTCAGTGGGGGTGTGAATTCATCAATAATATGTAGTTCATTGTTGGTTTTTCCCTAGTTTTCTTTTAAAATGTGCACTTATTTGATTTTTTCCCTGTTTTGTCAATATTCAGGAGACTTCTACCTGCTTCATCCATTTTATTAACCAATATCAGTAGTCTGGATTTTGAGGATGAGAATGACAAACCAAAGGTGAAGTTCAAACTTTTTTGTTTAGTTTATTTTAAATAGCAAGGTGAAGTTCTTTTAAAATGCCCCCCTTTTTTTTTTGCCAAAAAGTTTTCTCGTGAAACAGTGTATTGAAACCTCACCCTTCTTGAGATCCTCTCTCCTTTCTCCATGATATTTCAAACAGGATCCATTTCTTCAGTGGCAGATGGAGGAATTGCAACTAGGAGGGGCCAAACTATGTGCTAAAAATTGACAGTAAAGTTTTGATTATTTCATTCATAAGAAAGGCATCGTACATAAGTTGTACTAAATGATAAAGAAAAACTTTTATAAACATGAAAATTAACTTTTTTTATTCAATTCGTAAATAAAATTCTCAATCAATATTAATTATATAGATATGTACAAAACTAAAAACAACAAAAAAATGAAGAGACTGGAGGGGAGTTTCTTTTAGTAGAGCCTTGGCCGATGCCCTACCACTTATATTGTAGATACCAATTACACTAATCTAGTGAAACAAATGCTACCTAAGATAATAAATAACTATTTATACACAAATACAATTATCATAACAATATTAAATTTCCATGGTATTGAAAATTTATGAACATTAAATAATTTTTTGAGACCACTAATGAAATGAAATACAAACTAGGAGGCTTCTACTTTTTGCTAGTACATTTCTTTATATATGTTTCTCAAATCTAGGTTGATGCAACTACTGTTCTCTAAAGAAGCTACTGATTTTCAGGGAACTAGACGAGAAATGAAGTTGGCTTTAGATGAAAGAAACAGAACTCAGGGTAGCATCTCTCTCCTCCGTATGCTCACGAGCAACCTTCGTCTCTAGTAAAGCCACTTCCTATTTTTCTATTGATTTTCAGTGTAGTTTGGACATTTTGTTTTGTTGGTATCCCATAGTTTACGGTTTGAGAATGAAAGAAAATATTTGTGACTTTCTAACAGAAGGCATTTGTGAGTGATGTTTGTGAAAGAACAGTTGTACAAGTCATGTGCCTTTCATGCCCTTTTGTAAGTCACATCCTGTGCCTTCTTATTTGAGCCCAGGGCTCCATGTGTTAGCTTTTTAAGATGAAGTTGTAAAGGACAGTTGTGCAGCTCAATTTAATAGAAGGCACAGATAAAGTAGCCCAGGGTTTATTAAGGGTGTTGAGACAAGGTTGTAAACTAGTCAGTAGTTGGTCTGAAACCTTGATGTGCTTTAGAATGTGTTCGAACTTAGTTTATTTATATTCTTTTTAACGGATTTCAAACAAGTTTTAATCAAGTCGAGTTTGAGTAGATTGATTTTTTTATAGAATGTATAATCAAGTTGAGTTGAATAGTAAGTTCAAATTTGGCTTTAAAGCTTAACAAATACTAAAATGAGTTCATATAATTGAGTTTGTTTATATAATTGAGTTTTCATTTTCTTATCCCTCGCATTGGTGCAACTAATATCTTAAGTTTATTTAGATGGTTATCTCTTTCACAAATAAATAAATTGGAGCTGCTATCATATCATATAAAATACTAGTAGAGTGACTTTAAAATGACACGTCTACGAGTGAGATGCATGTTCATATTAGAATATGACGTGTACTTAAAAATATCTCTTGCTTTAATTTATTTACTTTTTTTAAGGGTAAATTACACTTGTCTCCTTGAGATTTTTGACAATTATAGGGACTTATGATGTGGTTTTAATAATTATATTAATCTTCCTTGCTTTTGAAACTATTATTAAGATTCTTTCACTGTCACCCTCTGACTATTTAACAGAATTTGCTAATGTCATAGGTTATAATATCAAAAATGATGAAATTGCTAATTAGTTACCTTATTCATTTAAATGAGAAATTTTATTCACATCTCTTGAGGTTTTGCATATATATTATCAAAGATTCATATATATTTTAGCATTATTTAATAAATTTTTTAAAATTTGTGCAATATTAAATAAAACCATAAATTATTAAGACATTATTAAATCATTTAATAAAAGAAAAAATAATTTTCATTGAAAAAAATACCTAAAAATAATCTCTCTAAAATTAATACTAGATAATATCTTAATAATTTAATATAAGACATATTTCACATTATATAAACAACGTAAAATTTATTATTTTAAGTAATCTATTTATTGTTTGAATTTTTATTAAAAGTTTAAGTAAATGGATTTATTTTTTTCTTGACAATTTGCCTTATTTATTCATATGTAAAAAAAATAAATATATTATTTCATCTTTTTTTCTCAATCATATATTATGTTTAAAATTTAATTTTTATCTTTGAGTTATTAAAATTTTAGCCGATGCATATTTAAAAAATTTTTGACTAACAAGCATGATATACCTAGTGGGTTGGAGATGCTCTGGATTTATTTTTTTCTTGACAATTTGCCTTATTTATTCATATGTAAAAAAAATAAATATATTGTTTCATCTTTTTTTCTCAATCATATATTATGTTTAAAATTTAATTTTTATCTTTGAGTTATTAAAATTTTAGCCGATGCATATTTAAAAAATGCAAGTTAATATTTTTTACATGATTAAAAAAATTAAAAAATAAATATAGAAGTAAAAAAAAATCTAATTGCCTCATAATAAATTAAAATTAGTTGATTGAGAATGCATGATTAAGAAATCATTTGAGAATAATAAACAATTCAAATAATTTGTCATTTCTTACACTTAAAATTAAAATTTATCCTTACTTGAATGGAGAAATTATTTGAGAATAATAAAATACTCAATTAATTTGTTATGAATGATACTTAAAATCTATTTCTCCATCTTTTATTCATCACATTTAAACTATTTTTATTAAATTAAATTTTAAAACTAATTTTTCACCTTCATTAACGGTTGATTTTTTTTTATGTTATTTTTTGTTTATAAAAGTTCAAAAACTTCTTGTGGAAAAAAATAGAGTGAAGAAATTACATTTATATTTTGAAAAAGTTATGAATAATAAATAATAATTTCATATATATTTAATAGGATAAATTAAATTTATTGCATTTAAGGTTAAGATTAGTGTTGATAATGGATGAGTTTGGTTTAATGGTCAAAAATCTCAGAGGTTAGATTTTTTTACTTCTATATTTATTTTTTTCATTTTTTTAATAATGTAAAAAATATTAACTTGTGTTTTTTTAGATATGCATCGACTAGAATTTTAATAAATTAAAGATAAAAATAAAAATTTGAAAATAATATATGATTGAGAAAAGATTAAAAAAAAATATTTTTTTTTATGTATGAATAAATAAGTAATGCAAATTGCTGGGAAAAAAATAAATCCATTTATTTCAACTTAAAAAAAAAATTCAAATAATAAATGGATTACTTAAAATGATAAAGTTTACTTTGTTTATGTAGTGCGGAATATGTCTTATATTAAATTATTAAGATATTATCTAACATTAATTTTAGAGAGATTGTTTATTTTTAAGTATTTTATCAATGAAAATTAAGTTTTTTTCCATTAAATATTTTAGTAATGTCTTAAGAATTTAAGGGTTTTATTTAAATATTGCATGAAATTTAAGAATTTTGTTAAATAATACTAAAATATGTATGGGTCTTTAATAATATATATGTAAAATCTCAGGAAAGACAAGTGTAATGTACCCATGTTGATAATGAATGAGGCTTCTTGATTTATGGGTATTTTCGTCTTTTCACATGTAAACCAAAGAGTAATATAGTAATTTTTACACTCAAATAACGCCATTTATACGAGCTTAACAAGTTGGGAGAATTTTGATATTGTCAGTAAAAGTACGTGAAGTTCCTGTAATTATTAAAATCATAGGAGAGATCCTTATAATTATCAGAAACCTCAGGAGTGATAAGTGTAATTTATCCTTTTTTTTAGATATGCGCATATTTTAAATTTTTTAAAAAGTCTCTTGTTTTTTCCTAGTAAAATGTCTTTTCATTTTCTCATCAAATTCTGTAACTCTTCTCCATATCATGAATCATTTTGATTTGAGAAATGTTCCGGTGTGCAATATACCGTATGTAATTTAATTATAAAATTACATAAGTTTTTATAAATTTACATAAGTGATCTCACAAAAATACGTAAGTTAAACACAAATTCGTGTAAGTTCGTGAAAACTCCGTGTGGTTTAGTTTTGATAATCAGTTTTGAAAGATAGTATTTTGAAAAGAATTAACAAAATTTGAAAACTTATTTAGTTATATATTTTGAAAATAGTTTTGAGATGATTTGTTGGTGAATAGATAGATGTGATAGAAAGATTGATTGATTGATATATAGGATGCGAAAAAATGAAAGAGGGGAGAACAAACAATTTTGAAAAAATTGTAAACTAAACAAATTTTTTGGATTTTTCATTTTAAAAATTGATTTGAAAATCCAATCAAACTCAACTTAAGATTTACACAAAGTTCAACTTATGTATTTTTTTTATGTAAATTTATAAAAATTTACATAATTTTGTGGTAAGATGTGTGCATTTCATACCAAAAAAAATTTCTTTTTGATTTTGCATTTATTACTGTTTTGGTGGAGAGTCAAATATTGGATACAAAGAGAATTCGTTCTAAGCAAATATAAATAAAGCATGACTTTACAATGCCAAGTCTAAAAGGGAGATACATGTTCATCTTAGAATATGACATGTGCCGTACTTAAAATGTTTCTTACTATTTTTTTTAATATTTGAAATATGTATATCTTTTAAAAGTTTTAAAATGTTTCTTGCTTTTTCCTTCTAAAATGTCTTTTTATTTTCTCATCAAATTCTGTTACTCTTTTCCATAGTCAAATACAAGAAATGTTTCTTGCTTTTTCCTTCTAAAATGTCTTTTTATTTTCTCATCAAATTCTGTTACTCTTTTCCATAGTCAAATACAAGAAAGAAAGGGAATTCATCCTAGGCCATGTGCCATATATAAAATGCCTCTGACTTGTTTTTATGAGTAATGCTAGAGATCTCAAATATTCTACCAAAAATTTTATCAAATGTCTCACATGGACACAATGTGGGTCCCATGTGGGTCCCACACCCATGTGAGACATTTGGTAAAACTTTTAGTAGAATTTTTGGGGCCTCTAGCATTTTTGTTTTTTTATATATTTTACATTTTCTATTTTTCACTGTAAAATGTCTTTTCACCTTCTCATCAAATTCTATAATTCTTCTCCATACTGTTAATGTACACTAAACCTAACCCACTAACCTAACCCACTACATCCATCCCACTAAACCTAACACACTTACCATCTCCACTACCACCCACCACCTCCACTACCATCCACTACCACCACTCACTTACCTCACACCTCTCCTATATAATAGCTTGTAACATACAAATCAATATACACAACAATCTTGTAATACAGATCAATCAATAATAATACATCAGTTATTTTTACACATACAATGCAAACCTTTTCATTTTGCATTCATTACTATTTCGTTGGAGAGTGCAAGATTGGGGAAAGGAAGATGATATATAAGAGAATCCAAACCCTATGTTAAATATCGTTGTCATGGGAGATGGATGATGCATTTTTTTTCTTATTTTATTATCTATTCCATATTTGTATCTCTATACTCAGGTTTTGTCAAGATCATTTATGCTATCTTTTATCTATATATATGGATAAAATGTATATAGATGGTTTAGATTGTGTATATTTAGTTTGACAAATGCTAACAAGTGCTCCCTAAGTATTGTTTAATATTGTGAAGTGTGTAAAAAATGTTTTACTAATATGTGAAAATATTAACAAGTGTATTGATTTCAATAAAAGTGTATTGAATTTAGTAAAAAGTGTCTTATATTCTTTAAATTTTTTTTTTGTTTTTTACTTGTGTCTTAAAGGCACTTGTGTAACAACCCCGATCCGTAATTAGTTACTAAACTGTGATTAAGGACGTTAATCAAGTGATTAAAAATAATTATATGTTAATTGTGTATTTTTGCATGCTATTTGATTTTCTATCTGTTAATCATAGTAATATCTGTTGCAATTTTCGCTTAGAATATTAATTTGATGGCCCGAATAACGTTAGAAATGGAAATTGACCGCATGGTTGGACTAATTAGAATTTTTAGAACATTATGGTAAGTTTAATTAAAAATTGATTCAGAACGATTAAATTAAGTTGCGTTTGGCAAGTCTTATGTTCT